TATTTTGCTTTCTCCTTTTTCCTGATTTTTTTTTTTTTGAGTCAGTTCCGTCAGAAGAGTAAGTTCTAGCAATCATTTTGATTGCTGGTTAAGTTTTGCTTTATATTTCACTGACAATTTGCCTTTTTTGACTTCCAGACTTTTATCCATGGGTTTTTGCATTACCCTCTAGTCCTTCATAATGAAAAAACCCAGTCTTCAATGAAAGAACCTGAGTACAAGTCTTATCATTTCACTGGGCCTCTGACCATCATGGCCCTCCTCCCCCAAATGTACTGGCTTGTCAATGTCAATTTTAAAATGTGTCCCTGGAGCTCAAAGGGATATTCTGTATGTGGTCCATTACTTCTCTTGATCCAGAGAGCATAACCCCAAAGCAACTAAGCTTTGAATCTAGCCTTTCATCCTCTTCCTCCTCTCCCATCCCCAAGTCATCTCCACTTAGGACACAATAGTCACTCATGGTTTTGGCAAGATTAACACAGTTACGTAGGATGGATCTCATTCTTCTCTTTATTTCACCATCTGTTGCTCTAGGTGATATTAGTTGTGTGTGTAGTTGTTAAGCATTCTGACAGTGAATTCTTGATTTTTCTTTTCCTTGAGAGCAACAGTGGGTGCTCTTCTGCTATAATCTGTCAAAACAGTGCAGTGCATAAAATAAATGACCATTGTTGCCCTCAGTTTTGAATATCAAATCCTCTCATAAGTTTGTGACCCCAGTGAGATATGATTACAATACATAGTACAATAACCCTTCCAAATCCTTACATTGTATAACAGTTTAGAATTTTAAAAGTTGACATAACCTCCTCCAACTTAAAAAAAAAATTACTTTCTTTTAACTAAGTGTCCTAGAAAAAGCTAAGTTACTTATATATAGGATCTCTACCAACTTGAATCCATGACACAAAGATTTGCATTTTCCTTTATTTTGGAGACCCTTAGACCCAGAGAACACAATTATACAAGTATTATTGTAAAATATATTTGACTGTATATTAGTTAATTGACAATTTGAAAGTAATGCATATTTTCCCACCTCTTGCAAAAGATTCCATCTGATTAAGAATTAACTAAGCTTTACTTTCTTATCAAAATTATTCCAAAGGGTTTTTGCATAGTGATAGATACATGCTGTCAAATATATGCTGAAATTGGTGGTTGAAAGTTTATATGAACCTCAGAAGGGGGAGCTAACTTGGCCCTTGTCTAGGAATAACTGTGCCTCTGGAAAGAAGACAGTAGGTTATTTATAGTCCTAGACCTTAGTGTTGTTTGAGTCTGATCCTGTCTGGGGTCTGTGCTAACCTACCCAATGTGGCATGGGCCAAACCAGCACAGGGGCCTAGTATAGGTTCCATCAACCTCTGAATTAACACCAGACTAAGAATTAATCTTACACAAGAAGAGGAAATATTCAACATGACTCTGGAGACAGAGATCTGGCTGTGAATCCTAGCTACTCTATCTACAGCTGTATGAATTCAGGCAAACTTCTAGCCTCTCTAAACCTCAGTTTCCTATTCTATAAACAGCAATAATAAAAGTACCTATCTCATTTGGCTGTCCTGAGGATTAAATGGTCATATAATAAGCTTAACATTTGACATACAATGTCTTCTGAATGAATATGCGCTGTTACCATTATTATCTTTATTAAATTATCACAGCCAGAATCAAAGGTGTTTCTCTTAGACACTTCAGAGTTCAACTTTGTTTTAGTTCATCTGTTGCTCTGTACCTGAAACACAATTCCATATCTAGCATTATTTCCTTTCTTCTCTCAGATGATGTAATCGAGCCTGGAACATGCAGTGGAAATCTATGTGAAGAACTCAGTAGATAAGGCATGCATTATAGTTGAATAAGCACTGGGATAATCTACAAGAAACATGAACTCTATCCTCAGAACTCCCCCAATAATTGATTCGCACTGCATGTTCTAAATATTCAAGTCAGCAGCCAAAAACATTGTTAGATATTTTTTAGTAAAATTCTGGCTGCTCCGTCAGCCATTATCACAAACTAACAATCAGTAAGACATATTCCGTATTTGTCTATGAACAAAATAGCTTCATCCACACTGAATTTCAGACCATAGAAAGATTCAGAAGGCAAGGAGAGAAGTTTTTGGACGATTTTTGGTTTCCACCAAAAAAATCATTAAAGAAAACAAAATTGTAATTATTTTAAGATCATACTATATTATCTTGTTCAGTGCCAATTTGTGTTTTTTAGAGTGGTGAAGAGAGATATAAATGGAAGTAAGTAGCTACTTATCACCATTCACCTATTTCTCAAGGACTAGAAATATTTGAGAGAAAGTGAAGTTTAAGGATGGCTTCTCAAGATCTTCTGTTTCTTAATTTACAGATGTGAACAGCTTGTACTTGAATAATCTATACCTCAATTGGTGTTAAATAGAAATAAGATAATAAGAAAAGCTTTGTACAATATAATATGCTTTAACAGAGTGGGAGTAAATTTATGGAATACCTAATTAGGATAGAAAGTGCTCTTTAGTTGGACCATGAGAGAGTCATATAATCTCTGTGAGCCTCAGTTTTATGAAAATTGAGGTGAGGACAGTGGACTTGAGCTTTCTAAGGGGCTACTCCAGCTGTCTTAAGTGCTACAAGGTGTTTGCTTACTTTTTGACCAATGGATGAGAAGAGTGATCAGTAGATGTCAGAAGGCTACTGATGCAATGCTTACATTTCAATAATATGTCCAAAAGTGGTGGCAAAAGAAATATAACAGATGAGAGGAAAGAATACTCCAGGTGGAGGAAACAACTTCTACGAAGGCTCTGCATGAAAGTACATCTCCTACAGAAGACTGAAAGAAAGCTATTGTAGCTGGGACACAAGAAATGAGAATCAGGAAGACAACGTGAAAGGTGTGTAGCAGAGCATCACGTGGGAAACTCTGGAAGACCACAGAGAATGACTGTGGTACAGACCTTAAAAGTCAAGCACATCTGAGTTATCAGTCTAATTTTCATTTGAGAAATGTGATTAATAAAGCATTCCAGAAAGGGGAAAAAGTACATAATTGATGTCCTGTTCAAATGATACAGATTCTATGAACTGTTAAGGCCAGGGATAGGAAATGCCCATCACCTAGGAACTAGATGTTGTTTTTACATTTTCAATTTCTTACTAATTCAACGATTTTTTTATGGGTGACTCCGAGAGGTCTTCCAAGAACCCTTTAAATTCCCCATGGGAAGAAGACAGAAACAAAAGTGCTATCTCATAATCAGGAATTATCTTATAAAAAGTTTTATGAATCAAGTGCAAATATCTACACAGCATAGTCCACAGGAAAGTGAAAAATGTCTTGGCCAAGTCACTTTGAATCAACTGGTAGGCGGCACCCCACGCAGAGGTAAGGAATCATATTTATAGGTTTCTTAAGGACTTGTGCGGGGCTAGGCAAGACGTTATAGATAGCTCTCCTTAAGACAAACTAAAGGCCAAATGACACAGAATATCTAAGGAATAGGAAAAAATGCTATTTATATTTGGTTAGCAAATTCTGAACTAAAATTGGTAAAGAGTAAACCTGATACCCTCTTGTAGAAAAGAAAAAACACCAACTAGATTTAAGGGAGCTGGCTTCTCATCTTGGCAATGCTGTGGTTTTGAGTAAGTCTCCAAACATCTGAGTTAGAGTTTCTATTTCTGCAAAACAGAGATAATAATGCCAACTTAATTGAATTGTGTGAGGTATAAATAAGTAAATCCACATAAAGTCCTGAGCCAAATACCTAATACACAGAAATATCTCAGTAATTCTTTTAATTAATTTGGAGTGCTAGGCTAAATTTTAGTGGAAGCTGCAAGTAAGACAATTCTTAAAAATACTGACTGAAAATCTTACACTCTGAAATCACTGTGTGCTCCATAATATTGTATATCCAAAGAGCCAAAACCACGCATTCTCTTCTTCACTTGTCTGATTAAAACAAACCAGCTCAGCATTAGACTTGGAAACTGGGGACAGCACCACCTGTCTGATTTTCTTACAGCTGTCAGAGCAAATTTTAGATCCACCTCCTAAATTTTTACCCGAACTAGAACTGGATTGTGTCTGTATTCAAAACACTTCAGTTGCTTTAAGTAATCGTTTTATTCTAAGAAAAAAATATACATATATACATATAATTACATATGTACATATACTTTACATATATTATATTTAGGTGAAATGATTGCTATTGACAAATAATAAAAATATGTTTTAAGTTGTGGCATATACTTTTGCAGAATAAACATTAAAACAGAAAACATTTACTTTAATATAAAGATAGAATTCATCGTGTAGAGGTACAAGACACATGAGTATGTGAAAAGAATCACAATTGAAAGCTTAATTGCTTTATTTTTAAAATCATACTGATTTTACAGTGATTCTGTACAATTCCATACCTTGTCTCTGAATATCCAGCCATGTACATACAAATTTTGTAGATCTATAAATCTTGTATGTGTGTGTGTGCATATTTATGTACTTACGTTAGAAAGGAAACACAAATTTAAAATCTCCAATTTTAAATATCATAAAGCAAGAATGCTCAAAATCATTTCTCTAAGTTTAAACATTAAATGCAACATTTTAAGTTCATCATGATCTCCAGCCTTGCACGCAAGCCTTGTAATGTTTGCTAGGTAAGATATCAGCCCTAAGGTTACATGACCATAGCTATTTATAGAGGTGTGGGTGACAGCTGTAAACTAGTGGGGACTTTGGCATCGCAAAGAACAGCTTCCCCATGCAAAATTTCAGAGAAATTTCTTTTCACTCCCCCAACACACAGATCTGCCAAGCTCTCAGCTCCCAGATTCACGTCTCTCACCCCATATAGAATTATTGATCAAGATACTGATTTAAAAGCAACATTTCAAGAGGACACATTGACCATCAATGGGACTGTCAATTTCCACCTTTTGTTTTTTTCCCTAGTTGATACTATTGGAAAATGGTAGCGGTACCTTCAGCCGTGATCTCAGTCATGGTGGTTGGAGAAAGGAAAAGGCAGGCGAAAAGTTCCGGTCAAGTGGCACTTTGCAGAATACTTTAGGATTGGAGAACTCTGATAGGCGGCTTGGTGTGAAAGCGTGAGGGCTCTTCGTTTTCCTGGCTGTTTCTGCTGCTCCTTTGTTGTCCTGTTGAACTTTGTCTCTTCTCTGCAGAGTTCTTCCCCCCTGGAAACAACCTGAGCCCTTTCTAGGCAGTACTTGTGGCTCAGGCAGAAGTATCAGCTTCGAACAAAAATAGCTTCATCTCCCTAGGACTCTTCAGCACTTTTTTTTTTTTTTTGGCACTCTAGGGGAACACACACTTTTACACACACACACACCCCCCAGTTCTCCAGCCCCAAAGAGAGAGAGGCCAAAAGGAAAAAAAAAAAGGCAAAGGAACTAAAAAGCACTGCCTAAGCCCCCGCAGTTTCCCTAAGATAATTACAGATCTTGGGGGTCTATGTCAGAAAACATGAAATAAAGAGTTGAAAGTAATCTTATCCGTGATGGCTCAGATTTATTCTTAGTGCCCTGAACGCTCAGAACATTCCTCTTCCCCTTATTTGGTGTGGGGAGGGTCCTGTAACGTCTACCAGAGGCAAAGGGGAGGGGAGGCTTGTCATTTTCTCCGGGTTGATTCCCTATTGGTCTAAATCCACTTAGCAAGTACAGTTATTTATATAGGGCTACACTTAAAGTTGCAACTATCAAATCCTGAAGCTTGCCTGTAGAAGATGAAGATTTTCCAACACTGGACAATGAGAAATAGGTAATGTGAAGTTATATTGACACTTGAGAACTGATGAATTACTAGATTTCTCATTCTCTTTAATTCCTTACTGAAAACAAAAACTCCAAATTTATGCAGTGAAAGAAAGGGAAGGTGGCCTAAAGTTTCGAAGTCCACAGCTCACAGCTCAGTACAAGATTTCAACTTTCCCTGCCTCAACTTCAAAAAATAAAATATAAAAAGATCAGAGCAGCTAACAATTAGCCAAATGGGCTGATTAGCATTTCACCTTCCCACTCCTAGACAGGTGTTAATGAGCAGAGAAATATTCAATAGTTGGCAGTTAGAAGGAGAAGGAGAATCAAAGGGCATTGATAATCACAAACTCAAGCCAATCTGTGAATAATCAGGGGTTGACTACACTTATCTTTCACTTCATTCTTATATTCAACCTAACGAACGATTGTGGTTTAAACTTTCAGCCTTCACTTGCTGCCTTCAATTGTTAGAACCTCTTGTATGGCACTTCTGAGATCAGAAAGCGAAGTCACATGTGTTATTTTAATATTTGAGACCCAGAAGAGCACTACAACAACTATTTCCTTTACCTCTGTGTCTGCGGCTCTGTATCTGCTGCCCCAATTCCTTGCACAATAGGAAGTGTTCGTATACCAGCCGAATACATGGATTAGGAAGTATGTGCTCTTTAAAAGAGGAAATAATTCTGGGTAACACTCATGACTTCATACAAGATCCTACACCTAGGACTGGGCCTGATGCTTTTGACTACAAGTTTGATGCGGTTCCCAAGAGGTTAGACTGTTGCAGACACTGACATTTGCAGGTAAAGGGAACCATGGCAAACTAGGTTCACCAGGGGATGGAGATACGAACTCCTCGCAGCCCCTCCCCCTCCCCTCCCCATGAGGCACTAGGTTAGTGTCTACTTTCTAAGGTGAAGAAGAGGTAGCCTAAAAGCAGGGGTCCCCTCACTTTGCTCCTAAGGGCATCTCCACTCAGTATCACCACAGTGCTTCCAATTTGAAGAAAACATTGTGCTTCAAATCTCTTTGTCAGTCACTTTCATAGTATTTCACTGTAGTTAACTGAAGAAATAGTAATTCCTTATGCAACTCATTAAGAATGTACATGGGTCAGGGCCTAAATAAAGTTAATTAATTTGGAGGAGGGGAAAAACACATTTTCAAACTTTTATTTAATAAAAAGTTGAAATAAGACTAGGCACCGAGAATATTCCCAGTGACTGACATTACTCTCAAATTCCCAATCACTAATTTCATGTTTTACATACTAGAAGCAAAGAGTAAACAATATCCTAGCTAAACATGTTCGGAAGATAATAAGGTTTTTTAACCCATTTATTGGATGAGTTGATGAATTTCCTTAGACATTAAGAAATCAGTATATTTCTTATTTTGAAAAGTTACTGGGACTCTTTCAAATTATTTGAAATCTAATTCATGAAATATGTCTTTGAGTCTCAAATGGATCTCTGTGAAGCTTTTCAAAACCAAGCAACTGACATTCTTCTAAGGGTATACATCCCATTCTTCAGGACATTCAAAGAATGAAATATTACAGACAATACACTTGCCTTTCCTCATTTTTTTTGCTCTTCTTCATTTTTAAGAGAGATTCAGTTTAAAGAGACCTCATTGAGGTCTTTCAGCATGACCTGAAGGTGGCAGTTTTCTCTTCTCAGTAATAGCTTCTGATGTTCTTTCACATTCCCCATCTCTATAGGATCAGCATGGGGAGACTTATCCTGGTGTTATACATGGAAACACTGGTTCCTGTATGCATTATTAACTGACTTGGTCTTAATATGTCAGTGACAACCACTGAAGTTTGTTCTCCTAGTAAATGTTTCATTTAGTCCAAGCTGCTTCTCCAACCTGATTATACTGGTCATTACCTCTTGTGATTTTCACCAGGTGTTCTAAATATTCAAGTTAGCAGCCAAAATATTCTTAGACAATTTTTTTCTAATTATGGCTGCTCTGTCACCATTATCATAAACTAACAATCAGTAAGACATATTCTGTATTTGTCTATGAACAAAATAGCTTCATCCACACTGAATTTCAGACCATAGAAAGATTCAGAAGGGAAGGAGTAAAGTTTTTTGATGACTTTTGGTTTCCACCAAAAAATATCATAAAAGAAAACAAAATTATAATTATTTTAAGATCATACTATATTATCTTGTTCAGTGCCAATTTGTGTTTTTTACAGGGTAGTGAGGAGAGACATAAATGGAAGTAAATAGCTACTTATCACCATTCACCTATTTCTCAAGGACAAGAAATATTTAAGAGAGAGTGAAGTTTAAGGATGACTTCTCAAGATCTGTTTCTTAATTTACAGACATGAATAACCTATACCTCAATTGGTGTTAAATAGAAATAAAATAATAAAATAGCTTTATACAATATAATATGCTTAAACAGAGTAGAAGTAAATTTATGGAATATCTAATTAGGATAGAAAGTGCTCTTTACTTGGATCTTAAAATAATGATGGGTGTAACTTTTTTGTGTGCCTAAGTTTTCAGGTTCATTTTAGTAGAAGACAAAAATAAATAACCAACTAGAATGCTTTGAAAAAAAGGGGGGAGCTGGAGGACAGAATGTCATAATATAAGAAAGTTTTATACATGAGCTAACAATATGTAAGCTATTGTTGCGCTGCCTTGGTTGAAGTAGTTTACAGGGGAAATATACAGAAGAGAAATGTTTTACTTTTAGCTTTGTAGGTGAAGACAAACTAGATACAGGAAGTATAAATATTGGCTTATTAAAGTTTAGAGTGAAGAAATTTAGAAGAAACTAGGAACATTGAAAGTGAACTTGGGGACCATTTGATTGTATTTGCTTTCACCTGACCTTGAGATCCCATCACATGACCTAGAAATTCCTCTGAAGCTCATTTGATAAACTTAGTCTTCAGAATCACAAGAAAAGCCTCACTTGAACTATTGGTTCATTAATCTTACCTCATCTCAGCATTGCTGCTCACTTTATTTTAAACTGTTTTGTGTTCTATTTGTGTCATGGAAAATCTCGTTCTGTCCTCATTACTTGCTCTAAATGGCCTGTGCTCATTTCTTTAACCAAAGGTTGAAAGTCATTCCATAGGTTTGACTTACCAAACGATTATTTGGAAACCAAGCAATATGGCTCGTTTCAAATGACAGAAGGCATTCCAGTGCAGTTAAAACCTTTCCTCTGTCTAACTCTGACTCATGAATTGCTGAGTCTCCAATATCAGGCTTCACACACATTTGACACTGTCAAACTTTCTTTCAGAAATTTGCCTACGTCAATCCAGTCTTCAATGAACAAAGGCAACGGATGTCCCCTTTCTTCTCAAAGATTCCATTCTAGTTGGCTTCTGCCCAGTGCCACTGTCCTGTCCTCTTTATAAGGACTGGCAGTATCCTGTAGTGGGTGGCCCCTGTGGAGTCCGTAATTCAGATTACTGCTCTCTGCTGTGCAGTCTGTCACATATGACCTTCACTCTGTGGTCCTGGTTGCTACCCAAAAGCAGTTGATGATTTATGTTTTTTAATTTTCTTATAAAAGCACAAATCCCTTTCTTATAAAAGATAAATTATCTGCTGTCCAGTTCTTCATTACAAACTTCTTTTTCTCTAAAAATAACATAAATGCCTGTTTCTATTTGCTAATTTTGAAAAATTTACAATGTCGGTATCTTGTTCTTTATATTTTGATGTTTTGCATTATCAATTATATAATTTGTTATACCTGTTTATCATAACTGAATACCAACTAGAGTCACTAACTTTGTGAGATTACTTATAAGGAAATAACATGCTCAATAAATATGTATTTCTAAATAAATAAATTTTATATTTATATATATATTATATGTGTATAATATATATATGCTCTTTACTCTGCCCTCAGCACTAAGCTAGGTTCCAGTGATGCTAAGATAAATAAGACAAGGTTTTGTCTTCAAGGAACTCATAATCTAGCAGGAGAGTAAAAAAGTTATGCCAAAAATTATAATGCAGCATGATAAATTCTAGAGTACAGTAAACACTATGCATTAGGTGAGAGAAAAGGAGGTTTAATGCAACAGGAAAGGCTTTTAAGAGGAAGAAATACTAGAGTTTATTCTTAAAGTATAAGAAATTATTCAAATAAATGATTGATTGAGGTCATATTTCCCAAGTAGAGGAAACAGCTCTAAAAAAGTTATAAAGGTTTAAACATAATGAACTTTAACAGTTCAGTAACATTTGGTCACAAGGTACTCGGAAGGAAGCTACACAAGAATAAGAGAATAAAAAAGATCCAGATACTTCAATGTCTCATAAGCCATACTGAGATTTTTGGACTTAGGTCTAATTTACAATGACACTGAAGTGTTTTAAGCAAGAACATGAAATAATCAAATTTACCTTTAAAGAATACTGGATTCAGCAACAAAGTGATGATTACAGTTTCCTTAAGATAATCTCAAGGGAGCCTTGGAAATAGAAGCCAGATTACAGAATGCA